GGGAGGGAGGGACAGAGGGAGAGATCCCAGGACACAGGCGTCTGTTTTTCTTGCTAAAAGAACAGGTCCTGCAAAGGTACCCTGGATTCATCTCTCCCCTAGTTTGGGAATCTTATTTACAAGGACGAAGCAGACATGCAAGACAGAGAAAGAGATGAGAGAGGGGTGGGGAGAGAGAGAGAGAGAGAGACGGAGGGAGGTGGGGTGAGATGCCACCAAAGGCCTGCTCCCCAGCCTTTCCCTGGGCTCCCAAACGAGAGCCAGCCTTTCCACCAGAGCGGTGGCCTTCGGCTTCTAGAGACCTCTCCCCTCCCTGCCCTCCCCATCCCCATCCCGCTCCAGTCTCTAGCGCCCCACACTGATGTTGCACGTCTTGCAGCTGGGATCTTTCTTGGCGTTGGCCGTGGAAAGGCTCATGAGCTGGTGGCCGCTGATCTCCCCCAGCACGCCGAGGCTGAGGTCGACCGGCTCTGTGTAGATGATCTCCAGGATGACGTCCTGGGCATGGCGGTAGACCAGCTCCCCCTCCTCGACGCTGCAGGTCAGGAACTTGTTGCAGGCAATGTCCAACTGGGGGAGGCGCTCTTGGCAGAAGCGGTCTCCCGGGGAGCCTTTGGGCGCCAGGACCAGGATGACGTAGTGGTAGGCGGTGTACATGCAGTAGAAGTCTGCGAAATACAGGTTGGTGGTGTTGGGGCCGAAGAGGCGCTGGGCGGGGACCTGGAAGCGGTAGCGCCCGTAAGGGGAGTCCTGGGGGGGCTGGCCCGTGTTGAACTCGGTGTTGCAGCTGAAGAAGATGCCGTGGAGCATCCCGCTGGTGGGCGAGCCGTGGCTGCCGCTGTTGTCCTTCAGGGAGGGCTTCAGGATGTTTCCGCAGTGCATTCTGGCCGGAAGGGAGATGCAGAGAGTCAACGCAAAGGACGTTCTGGGCCCTGAGCTAAGCCTTAAGCTCGGTCAAGCCCAAGGTGTCTATGATTTATTTATCAGCAGCGTTTCTAGCCCACCTTTCTTCCAACGAGTGCAAAATTACATTTATGACTCTCTTATTTCCTGCCATGCTCACAACAACCCTGTGAGGTAGGCCTTAGAGCCCATGGTCCTCTGTTGCTCCACCCTATTTCCCAGGATAGCTGTGAGGATTGGATGGAACCGGGGGGGGGAGGAGCCTTCTAGGTGCTTCAAATCCCTTAGAGCAGTGGTTCCCAACCTTGGGCCTCCAGATGTTCTTGGACTACATCTCCCAGAAGCCTTCACCACCACCTCTGCTGGCCAGGATTTCTGGGAGTTGAAGTCCAAGAATATCTGGAGGCCCAAGGTTGGGGACCACTGCCTTAGAGAAGTGGTTCCCAACCTTGGGTCTCTAGATGTTCATGGACCCAGAAATCCTGGCCAGCACAGCGAGTGTGGTGAAGGCTTCTGGGAGTTTTAGTCCAAGAACATCTGGGGACCCAAGGTTGGGAAACCACTGCCTTAAGAGGACGGGTGGAGCAAATGGATATGGTAATGAATGCCCTGGGATGCAAGGCAAGAGACTGCAGGGAACGGATGCCCCTCCTGTCATCCCTTCTGTGGCAGAGTGTTCAAAACACTCTGTACCTCAAAGACAAGTTATGATTAGTGAAGGCAGAACTCCAAAAGGTTGCTTCTTTGGACTTCTGTTTCAGAACCTGGGCCAACGTGTCTGAAGGGGGAACCATTACTGCCTGTGACCATTTCTCCATATATGGGCATGGGCTCATAGGAAAAGTCACAAAGATGCATTGCAGCCTAAGCTTTGAAAAGTTCCTTTTTTTCAGCTTTCACAACCCCTCCGGCCAATGTGGTAAACCACTACGCTAGACGATGAATTCCCAAACTTGTTTGGACTTCTGGTTCAGAACCTGGGCCAATGTGTCCGAAGGAGGAACCATTACCGCCTGTGACCATTTCTCCACTTAAGGGCATGGGCCGATAGGAAAAGTCAACAAGATGCATTGCAGCCAAAGCTTTGAAAAGTTCCTTTTTTTCAGCTTTCACAACCCCTCCGGCCAATGTGGTAAACCACTACGCTAGACGATGAATTCCCAAACTTGTTATCCTAAACGAGAACCTCTACAGACTCTGAGCTAGCGGAGGTTATGGTGGGATCTTCCAGTTAGTTTAAGTCTTCCCTTCGCCCAAATATTAAGAGCTATGACCCCAGACCTGACCACCTTTGGGGGAGACATTAGACTAGGCAGGTCAGCATCTGGCGGACCCTGGTTCGAATCCAACCAACATTGTCTGTTTCCCCACCAGTGCCTTTTTCACTTCAATTGTCAGATAGAGGAGAAGAATTTGGCTCCGTAGCATCTTCTGAGGCCAAGACCTAGCAGCTGTGAGTGACAAGCCATGGTGTTCCCAGGACTTACCGGCCACTGATTTCACCATTTCTTGTTTAGTCGTGACCATGGTCTTGGTGGGTTCGAAGTCCCTTACCTGGCATACTGGAAATATTCCTTGGTGTGGTTCCGATAGAAGACGGAGAACCGAAGCATCCTTCCAGCAATGAGTTCGGCTTTCTCCTGCAGCTGGGCCAGGTGCTCTTTAGCGTAATCTGCATGGGGCATTAAGGGGCACAGCAGTTTTCTATGGCAGTTTCTCCCACCTCCCATCACCGGTCATGTGCTCAATCTGGCTCCAGACCATGAATCTCCCCCTCTTTCTCGCTACACCTGGCTGGCTCTCTTCCCCTCATTGCCTCCAGCCAGTTCTCCCTCCCTGTCATCTCCTCCTCTGGGTGCCTTTGGATGGCACGCCCTTGGCCTCCTCCTCCTTCTCCTCGGCAACTCTTTCTCCATCTCGAAATCTGGATTTACTGCTTTTCAGCACCCCTCAGCTTGTTCCAGTTCTCACCAACCGAGGCCCTGCCTTTCAGCCAGCCCAAACAAGTGGCTTGTCTCTTCCATCACTCCTTCGCTCCTAAACATTCTCTCTCCTTCCAAGATGGAACAAAGCAGTGGCTTGCAAGTAAACAGAGAAACCAAACAGCTGGGACTTCAGGATGGAGGGATCTGGCCACAATGCATCAAAACAGTTTGTGTAAGGATCCCCTCTCCTCCTTCTTAATGGAACTGCAAATTTTATTTTATTTTATTTTGGTGGAAAGGAAAACAAACAAGAACTGCATGGAAGGTTACAAGTGGAAGACTATATTTCCCAGAGATACCTCTAGCAGACTGGCTAGAGTTTTCTGGGAAATGTAGTTTTTGAAAAAAAAAACCATTTCAAACTCTGGTCTAATCCATACAATTCTGTAAATAGGGCTGACAATACAACACACTCTTCTATTTCCGATCACTGTGTATAGGTGCAAAGGCTGGACAGTTAAGAAAGTTGATAGGGGAAAAAAAATGATTTGTGTGAAAATGTGGTGCCGGAGGAGAGCTTTGCGGATTCCGTTACAACACACTCTTCTATTTCCGATCACCGTGTATAGGTGCAAAGGCTAGACAGTTAAGAAAGTTGACAGGCGAAAAAATTGATTTGTGTGAAAATGTGGTGCTTTATGAATTCCCTGGGCTGCCAGAAAGTGGGTCTTAGATCAAACTCAGCCTGAACTAGGAAAAAAAGTTGAAACTGAGGCTATCCTGCTTTGGGCACATCGCTATAAGGCAGGATTCTCTGGAAAAGACAATCGCACTGGGAAAGGTCGAAGCCAGCAGGAAAAGAGGAGGACCAAATATAAGATGGATTGACTTCTTAAAAGAAGCTACAGGCGTGAATTTGCAAGAGCTGAGCAGGGCTGTTGAGGACAGGACCTTTTGGAGATGGCCCAGACACAGGGCTAGTGTAAGTCAGAGGTGACTTGTTGACATATAACAGCAACAACAATACCACCTCTTGCTTGGAAGCATCTCTGGTTACAGGGGAGAACTATGAAAGTAATTGCTCCAGCCCCATTCTGAGGAGTGGAGAGATGGTCCTCGCTGTGACCATGTCCACCATTTAGCTCTTCCTTCAAGCGATGGGCTAGCCTTAAGCTCGGTCAAGCCCGAGGTGTCTATGATTTATTTATCAGCAGCGTTTCTAGCCCACCTTTCTTCCAACGGGTGCACAACTGCATTTATGACTCTCTTATTTCCTGCCATGCTCACAACAACCCTGTGAGGTAGGCCTTAGAGCCCATGGTCCTCTGTTGCTCCACCCTATTTCCCAGGATAGCTGTGAGGATTGGATGGAACCGGGGGGGGGAGGAGCCTTCTAGGTGCTTCAAATCCCTTAGAGCAGTGGTTCCCAACCTTGGGCCTCCAGATGTTCTTGGACTACATCTCTCTAGATGTTCATGGACCCAGAAATCCTGGCCAGCACAGCGAGTGTGGTGAAGGCTTCTGGGAGTTTTAGTCCAAGAACTTCTGGGGACCCAAGGTTGGGAAACCACTGCCTTAAGAGGACGGGTGGAGCAAATGGATATGGTAATGAATGCCCTGGGATGCAAGGCAAGAGACTGCAGGGAACGGATGCCCCTCCTGTCATCCCTTCTGTGGCAGAGTGTTCAAAACACGTTGTACCTCAAAGACAAGTTATGATTAGTGAAGGCAGAACTCCAAAAGGTTGCTTCTTTGGACTTCTGTTTCAGAACCTGGGCCAAGGACGGGTGGAGCAAATGGATATGGTAATGAATGCCCTGGGATGCAAGGCAAGAGACTGCAGGGAACGGATGCCCCTCCTGTCATCCCTTCTGTGGCAGAGTGTTCAAAACACGTTGTACCTCAAAGACAAGTTATGATTAGTGAAGGCAGAACTCCAAAAGGTTGCTTCTTTGGACTTCTGTTTCAGAACCTGGGCCAATGTGTCCGAAATACATTTGACACAGAATTGAATATTCAGATAATAACATATTCAGGCAATAAATTAGTCATACAATGGCATTTAATTTTCAATTGGGATGCAAGGCAAGAGACTACAGGGAACGGATGCCCCTCCTGTCATCCCTTCTGTGGCAGAGTGTTCAAAACACTCTGTACCTCAAAGACAAGTTATGATTAGTGAAGGCAGAACTCCAAAAGGTTGCTTCTTTGGACTTCTGTTTCAGAACCTGGGCCAACGTGTCTGAAGGGGGAACCATTACTGCCTGTGACCATTTCTCCATATATGGGCATGGGCTCATAGGAAAAGTCACAAAGATGCATTGCAGCCTAAGCTTTGAAAAGTTCCTTTTTTTCAGCTTTCACAACCCCTCCGGCCAATGTGGTAAACCACTATGCCAGACGATGAATTCCCAAAGTTGTTATCCTAAACGAGAACCTCTACAGACTCTGAGCTGGTGGAGGTTATGGCAGGATCTTCCAGTTAGTTTAAGTCTTCCCTTCACCCAAATATTAAGAGCTATGACCCCAGACCTGACCACCTTTGGGGGAGACATTAGACTAGGCAGGTCAGCATCTGGCGGACCCTGGTTCGAATCCAACCAACATTGTCTGTTTCCCCACCAGTGCCTTTTTCACTTCAATTGTCAGATAGAGGAGAAGAATTCGGCTCCGTAGCATCTTCTGAGGCCAAGACCTAGCAGCTGTGAGTGACAAGCCATGGTGTTCCCAGGACTTACCGGCCACTGATTTCACCATTTCTTGTTTAGTCGTGACCATGGTCTTGGTGGGTTCGAAGTCCCTTACCTGGCATACTGGAAATATTCCTTGGTGTGGTTCCGATAGAAGACGGAGAACCGAAGCATCCTTCCAGCAATGAGTTCGGCTTTCTCCTGCAGTTGGGCCAGGTGCTCTTTAGCGTAATCTGCATGGGGCATTAAGGGGCACAGCAGTTTTCTATGGAAGTTTCTCCCACCTCCCGTCACTGATCATGTGCTCAATCTGGCTCCAGACCATGAATCTCCCCCTCTTTCTCGCTACACCTGGCTGGCTCTCTTCCCCTCATTGCCTCCAGCCAGTTCTCCCTCCCTGTCATCTCCTCCTCTGGGTGCCTTTGGATGGCACGCCCTTGGCCTCCTCCTCCTTCTCCTCGGCAACTCTTTCTCCATCTCGAAATCTGGATTTACTGCTTTTCAGCACCCCTCAGCTTGTTCCAGTTCTCACCAACCGAGGCCCTGCCTTTCAGCCAGCCCAAACAAGTGGCTTGTCTCTTCCATCACTCCTTCGCTCCTAAACATTCTCTTTCCTTCCAAGGTGGAACAAAGCAGTGGCTTGCAAGTAAACAGAGAAACCAAACAGCTGGGACTTCAGGATGGAGGGATCTGACCACAATGCATTAAAACAGTTTGTGTAAGGATCCCCTCTCCTCCTTCTTAATGGAACTGCAAATTTTATTTTATTTTATTTTATTTTGGTGGAAAGGAAAACAAACAAGAACTGCATGGAAGGTTACAAGTGGAAGACTATATTTCCCAGAGATACCTCTAGCAGACTGGCTAGAGTTTTCTGGGAAATGTAGTTTTTTTAAAAAAAAAAAAACATTTCAAACTCTGGTCTAATCCATACAATTCTGTAAATAGGGCTGAC